GAACAGTAGGTCCTTATGCTGCCTTCTCTGGGGACAAGGAAGAGTGTTCCGGAGAACGGTCTTCCACCACCACCTCCCCTTTTTGATTTGGGGGGCCAAGCAACACGGGAGCATCCTCGTCGCTTTCGTCGCCCTCTGCTGCTGTGGTAGCAAGACGGGAGGGGTGGGCGGGGAAGGAAAGGGAGCGTCCTCGTCCTTCTTGCCGCCCAATACTCCGTGGACGCGTTCCGCGACGGCAAAGCCTGGCGAACCGATACTGAAACCCATCTAAACGACAGAAGGGAAAAATGGCCCGCACGCAAACATTTCGACCATGGTTTAGCGTCACCGGAGGGAGGCTTGACACCGACGCCCAGAAGGGGGGCATTGTATTCAACATCAAATATCACGCCATTAGCAAGCACTCCTCGTTTAAGATAAAGGTCGTGGACGTACCTACAGCGTCTGCGACCCTTCTTCGCATCATAGCGTGATACCGAATTCGCCACTATCATCGACGTTTCAGTATCATGAAAGCAGCACACCACTGTGCCAAACAACTCCAACTTCCGCCGTACCTGGTGAGGATATCGTCGACGTTAGCTCTCAAGGAATCGGACCTTTCCGAACAAGACATTCTCGTCGTTCACAGGACTCGCAGGAGCCCATTCCGCTCACGCCAAGGCGTCTGATGAGAGGGAAGTATTAACGTGCGATAAAACAGGCGTTAGTTGACTGGAGGGGGAGAGAAACATCCTCTACAGACCCTTCCTGTCCAATTGACTCTACCAGCCAGCACGCATTACTTTCAGGATCGGCCCCAACTATCGTTTCTGCCCCTGAGAGGGATGCGCGATCGTTCGGACCTTTTTCCCACCACGTTTAGCACCCGACTTGTGCGGGGAAGAGAGGCCCCTCGAGAAGTCAATGGATCCCTGACCTGCCTCTTCGTAGGTCGATTACAACTCATACTATATACTTCCTTGGCACGCTCTTGAACGCGTGTCGCCATAGTGAGGGGATGATGAGGGGAGGGGGTTAGTAGAGAGCAAGCGATGACGGGTAGGCTGAGGGTTGCTGCGCTCTCTCACTCTCACCAGGAAGAAAGAAAAACAAGAACCGCTCACCGTAACATTTACCGCCATATTCAAATACCGCCGGCGGTTGGCGTTTTACCGTCGTATTTGTTGGTGTTACCAGGATCGCCGAAGGCGGTACCACCATGAATCCAACACCGCCGGCGGGTTACCGTCATACTTTGGTGATACCCGGAACCGCTAAAGGCGGTACCGCCATGTTCCATGACCGCTACAACTTTTTCCCGCCGTACTCTTGGTGCTATCAGGGCCGTCAAAAGCGGTACCGCTGAACAACGAAAAACCTTCTATCGCAAAACCGCAGCGCCAGTGTCCGTCCAAAAACGCGGTACCGACGAGTACGCTGCTCAAAATCAAATCGTCCGCAGGATCGAGCGAGGGAGCCGATCTCCTGGCGCGATTGTTTTTGTTGAAAAATAGCCCTCACAGAACACGAGAACAATACGCCGGTTCGGTGAACGGAAAAGCCATTTTGACACACACCAAAAAAAAAAAAACACGGGCGCAAAATACCGGCGTCTCTTCACAACGGTCAGCCGGAGGCCGCCGCAGGTGACGCTGCAACAAGCCAACAACACGCACGCGAAGTGTACGTACATACCAGGAGCAATGTGGCAGCACCATGCACTTACCCAAGTCGAAGCGCCTGTTTCCCCGGAGAGAGCTGGACGCCTTCAAGGTCAGTGCCGTCAGGGCCGTCAGCGCCACGTCTACTTCGCCGTTGGACAACAGCGACGCGTACAGGAGATCCGCACCCCCTCGCGTCCTGGGTGGCGTGTCATCATGGAGCCGCAAATTCTCACACGAGGGAAACGAAAGGGAGGCTGAGATGATGGGTATCGCTCAATCGCAGCTGGCAGCGGGTTGGATGGGGATAATCGGACGCTGCGAAAAGTCGTCAAACCACACAGGTGGTCCGCCCCCGGTGTGTGGCGTTGTTGGGAGAGGGGGGGGGGTACTCATAGTCGTGCATGCTGTAGTCGATACACCATTGACCTCGCATCCCTACCAAGCCGGCACTGAGCAGGCCGGGTTCTCACCGGACCAGGAGCTCACGTCCCCAAGCGCAAAGTATCGTGAGGTATTCGGCGAGTCGCATGAAGGGTGCGCTACATTCTGCGCTTACTTCCTTGCGTACAGATGACAGGTGCGCATCACTACATAAATTTTCTG